TTTATTAAATTGTTTTGTAGCCGATATGGTTATAGTCCATATATCACCATTGGCACTCTGTAATTTTCAGATGTTAATATAATTCAGGGGTGAGCAGTTATTTCAGCTGGAGGGCTACTTAATGAGTTTTGGTGAGCTTAATGAGTTTTGAGGGCTGCGTGCAGAGCCATCCCTAGGGGGGTGGGAATTGGGGTGACTGCCCCAGGCTCCACGCTTTGGGGGGCCCCATGGAGCCGGGCGGAGCGGTGGCTCCGTGTCCAGCCGCTTGCTGCTGCCCCCCCCTGCCCGCCCCGCCACCCCCCCCCTCCCCCCCCTGCCACCGCCAATGGCAAAAAGAGATTCTTCGGGTCCGGGACAGGTGGGATTGGAGTGGGGGGTGGGGCCCCACATAGGCTGATTTTCCCTGGACCACGCACCTTGTTCGGGTTGCTTCTGGCTGCATGAATAGACCTGCCCCTTGACAGGTGTCCTGCCCTGGTTACCATCTTGGGACTGGAAGTCCCATCCCCAAACCCCTGACCTTGCCACCAGAAGTACTCCTTTGAGCAAGGAGGTTGCCATCTTGGAACCAGAAAAAAACCCAAATTATATTCTAAAAAGCAAACATCTACTGCAATATGCATTAATTTGATTTTAAAATATATTTTTGTCCTGTTTTACATGTGTTTGCATAGTGTGCATAGAGGTGATTGTATAACAACTTAAAGTGAAGTCTTACTCTTGTATATTGTGGAGTGGTATGGATGGGTGGATACAGGGTTTGTGGGGGACTATGGAGGTGGGTGTGTTTGGGTATATGGGGTGTGGGGTTTGTGAGGGGCTGTGGGGGGTTTTGGGTATATGGGGTGTGGGGTTGGTGGGGGTGGATAAGGGGGTTGGGGGTGTGTGTGTGGGGTGGCAGAGCATGTAGGTGTGTGTGGATATGTGGGGTGGCGGTGGGTATGGGGTTTGTGGGGGCTGTGAATATGTTTGTGGGGAAGGTCTCTGGGGAGGGTTGTGGCATGTGTGGTGTGCCTGCCTACTGCTTCCTCCTGCTGGCCCGCCCACCCACCTGCCTGCCCCTCTGGCAGTGCACAGTTCCCAGCTGGCTCATGCTGCACCATGCACTATCCATACAGTGAGGAACTGCTTGATGCTGGAGCCAGCCCAGCCTGGCTGGCACTACACAGAGCCAGCCAGGAATCGCTGGGGCTGGGCTGGTTCCTACTGCACCCACAGGGAGAGTGGGGATCCAGCCCGGCTCCATGAAGCTCCTGCCAGCCCAGGCTCCATGCTCCTTGCTCCTGCTGCCCTGCCTTGGGCCCCAACTGTTGCAGGCCCTGTGCTTCCGCCCTGTGCTCCAGCCAAGCTGTCACTATGGTCCTGTTCACCAGCTGGCT